AATCAATGATGTTTTTTGTTTGAAAATTTTACACCCGGTCGTTTGTTCACATTAACAAACCGATTTTCATTAAAATTAATGTGTTGCTTTTAATTCACTTGCAATTTAACAGAAAAACTTATTTAAAACAGGTTTCCTCAGAATTTATTTAACAAAAATTTCAGATTGATTTTCGATTAATCTGTTTGTTTGTGAGCCTCTTTCTACATCATAATAAATTATTTTTCTAAAAACAGTTACAAGATGAAAATGTCCAATGTTTCGATTGCCTTTCATTCTGGTAAAAGAAAAACAACGCTATATTTCCAAAACGAGAATTGTCCGTATTTCGTGTCTATATTAGTAAACATGTGCTTGCAACGCACGGCAACTCCATAAATAAATAGGTCTTTTACGTTATGCATAAATTGACAAAACAATTTATTGTATCCACCCTGCTTTTATTACCTACATTTGTATGTAATATTTTTCTTCAAATAATCAATATAAAAGTATTCAACTTTTCCCTTCTCTCGTTTCAAACCAAACGTTTGAACGAAACTCCCCAAAGAGCCAAATAATATATGATTTTAAATCGCTATCTGCTTTATTGAATAATACATTTAACAGCAACGTGCGTATCTCCTTAACGCTCCCCAATCTGCAGTTTTTTTTCTTTTGAGATGTTTTCCTGCTCGTTAAATGGTCTGATTGCCGTTCCGCTCGAAATATATTCAATCAGTTGTTTTTACGATGGAAAAAAGAAAATGAGACGATGCTTATTGGAAAATTATGAGCCTGTTGTTTTTGCTGTCCTCGTATCAATGAAGATAGCAGGAATATTGCGGCATTTAAGCGCCTTTTTTGGGATACTGTCCCCACACATACCAATACAATTCTGTGTTCTTTCCGCAGATGATTTCAAAGTTATGCGTTATTTTTTAGATCAGTTGCTTCCTTGGGTTCAAGCAATCGCTGTGCAGGCACAGAAAATATATGTTGATCAAATTTGATCGAAGTCGAACTGTATCAGAATATTACGGCCTTGGTCATTTGCTTTCGTTCTGAGGATCAAATCCATTTGAAAATGGAGAAATCTATAATTTTCTTTCATCAACCTGAAGGTAGCTGATGTCCAAAAGTCTTCAAAGGAAAAGAAGCTGCAAAGGTCACAAAATTACTTTATCGACTGCTAACAACATTTTATTCATTCATCAAAACGCACTTCTCTCTTTAGCAAATGTTCCATCTTTTGTATGTGTTCACCGAAATTAATTTAACTTAGCTGAACTAAGTTGTCTTATTGCAAGCAAGCGCCTTTAAACCGATATGGAATGTTAAATGTATTGACAGAGAATTTCCGATGTAACCCATGTGGTTTCGTCCGAAAAAGGCGAGTAAGAGTTCGTCAGTCTGGTCCAATTCCGTAAAACGATTGGCAATTGGCCAGAGCTTATTGCGAAGTTCGATATTTCATATACGATGTCGGTATCTTGTATCGGAACAAAGATCAAACAAAAATCAATCAAAAACGGATGCGATTAACAGCTTTTACCTAGTTCGAGATCATTTACATTGTTCTAGAACATAACTGCAAGTGTATGGCTTATAAGCTTATGTAATGTGATCCATAAGAAAATGAACAATCTAGAAGTGAAAAACGGGATAGCAGTAAATTCTAGACAAGTAACGATTTACCTAACTAAGGACTATAGTAGGGAACGAACAAAGTAAACCTGAATACAATCCAAAGGTCTAATTATCAAATCCAGCGCTAATAATTTAAAAGAGAAATTTAGTAGTAAAATTACTTAAATGACAAAAACGAATGTGAACTATCAAGCACTTATATTAGTGGACGGTAAATCTGCTATTTAATGCACGTAAAGAAAAACGGCGTTGGCCGGTCCTTCGACGAGCATTCGGTTAGATACTAGCAATTATTTTTCACTTGAACTTTCTTTATTTTTTGGGTTCAACAGTTTTGGGAAAAACGATAGGAGAAACATCACAGTTTTTTTATTTCCTACAATAATTTTTTGTTTCATATTTATAATCTTAATCTAAAAATCTACTATATATTATTTGATTAATCGTAGCCGTAAGCCGTGTAATTGTGACTGATCTCTTTTTTAACAGGCATCGAGGTTTATACAAAATGTATTCGAAGCTTGGAGATATAAGAAAAAACAAATAATATAAGAGGAAACTAATAAGTTCTTAAAAATAAAACCTAAATGGGAAATAAAACTCTAACTTTCCCCAATACCTCTCATTCCCTTTTGTGCTCACATAATAACATGTCAGATTCTAGCAAGTTTCCTTATTCTAGCAATTTCCTGATTGACAGGGCTCTTTTTCATAAACCCTCAATCCTGAAACTCTGAAAGTCACTAAACTGACAAAGCCAACTAGGTGTACGTGCTTGTGGCATAATCAATCGCCTTAGACTCGCTTTTTTCAATAAAATACCTAACAACTCATCGAAAAATGCAAAACAAATCCCCAAATTACAGTCCCACACAGATCGTTTAAAGCCCCTTTAAAGCTCAAACGAATTTTGGCTGCAAATGTAATCAATTTGAATTGTAAAGTACAATTTCAAGTTTAGGAAGTAAAGGAACATTTAGGCACTGGCAACTACTCACTCAATCTAACCTAATCGATTCAGCTTCAATTAATACATCATACATTTGAAAAGGGGAGAGAGTTATGAATTTAATAGTTTTCCAAATGAATAACGGCTTACATACAAACTTCCCACATTTCTGTAAATCATATCGATTTGACATGATCAATTTTTTTTTAAAATAATTCACTATAATATCGTCATTATTAAGAGGGTCATTAGCTTTTCAAACTCTCTTTTTTTTTAAGTCGAACGGCAATAACGGAAACGAAGACAATATAAACAGTTAATGTAACGTTTGCCTACATGATTGAGTTTAAAGTTGAGTTTAAATAAACCACGGTATAGTTAGCACAAAATCCCTCATTTACTAAAGTTGAAATTGCTGGAATAAAAGCTGCAAACTTTCCAAACCTATTTACAATAATTCCGATTAACTTAACTCCTTTGAAGGATCTTTGAAGATCCTTCACGATTTTGCTTCATAGCTGTTTAGGGCAGACTTTGTCAAATTTATAAGTGCATTTTTTACAGTTACTTTGTTATCGATTTTTTGAATAACTATGCGAACAATAAAAATGTTTAATGTAATTTACAAATCGCATGTGTACGTCTGACTTACTTGACTGAAAATATGGGGTAACGTAATACGCGTCCTTCCGTATAATTTAATGCTTCAGACATATCTTCGGTTACGCTGCTTTCCTCGCCTTGATAAATTGCTAATTAATTTTAATTAGTTAGGGAAGAGTAGACTATAATTATTGCTCGGCTATTTTATGACGGTCTTTTCAGGTCTGATTAATTCCATAGTGGCTGATTGAAAGTGCCTAATGATTTTTTGATATTCATGGAAGTGTTACATTTATTAATTGAACTGTTTTCTTTTTTTAAATAACTTATTAATTTAATGCAGATGGCGTGTCTTAGCTGATATTTTAATGTCCAAGTTTTTTTATGCAAATTACTTTAGAATAAATTTATCAATTTTGACTGGGCTAAAAACTTTTATGTGCAACGTGGATTGCATACATTTTTTGACCAAAAATACTCTGACAATAGCACACTGGAAAAATCATGCTAGAAAGTTAAACATAAGTTATCAAACTGCAAATCAAGAAGGAAACAGCATCTTACAAGCAAAACTTAACGATTGCATAAAATAACAAGTAACAAAGGCACTTCAAGAAAAATATAAAATCTGTACTCCAAATTAAAAAAAACTTTTTGAAGGGTAGTCATCTTCCGAACTCATGGTTACGTACAAGGCGATTTCACCTATTTTAATGACTATTTAGTTAATCGGACAATATTTTTTTAAATTTTTTGTTAACTAAATGAACATTTGCACGAACTAAATTTATTATATCATTAAGTATGGAAGCAAGTATACAATTTAGACGGTTTAGAGCCCACTAAAGTTGCTAGTAGAAAAAACGAAAATTTATTTTATGTCTCGTAAATCAAACGGGCGATGGCAATGAGTGTTGGTGGTTAGTGCTTTTATTGGTTAGCTGTTCTTGTTTGAGTGGAGCTTCCAATCTGCTGAGTTTTAGAATATAAATTACACAACTAAATAAGTATTGAAATTACAGTAAAAGTGGATTTTGCAATAAAGGTAGACAATAGTTGGATAATAATTGAATAATAAATCATTGGAATAGCCATTTATTTCCATAATTTTCGCCAATTCAGTCTTAGGTATTAAAGCCCCATCACAAATTTTCATTGGAATTTTATGATCTAATTTTTTTAATAACATTAATTTGTGCGTCAGATGTTCCCTAAAGTTGTTTGAAAATAGTAGAGAGGGGGAGAAGAGAGTGAGAACAATATGCAAATATCCCCATAATATCATGTGCTGTAAATGTTTTGTCCCATATTAATTCATAGGCAAAGACGTATAAAAATACGCTTTGTCCAGGAAAATTTTCGTTGTTCTAGTAAGAAAATCTTCTTTTATACAGGCTTTTAATTAATTTGATTTAACTTTTGTAGCTTCATGTCTGTTTTATTTTTTAACAAAATTTTGGTTAATTTTATCGGTTTTTGTTACATATTTAATATTTATTAATCACCACTTATTCTTTGTCTATGTGAGTATTACAGTTAATATTAAATAGTTGGTTTTAAAATTGCATACGCTTGCTCAGCTACTGAGGTAATAGATTTACATGATTTCAACACAAAGGTTTCAACATTTTTTTTTAAGTCGCCGGTATTTTGTAAATTCGACCAGAACAGCATATAAGCTTTTATCAAGGATGGAAGTTGCATATCATATATGTATATAATTTATTAGCCATTAAAATCACCATAGATTATTGTATTTCACACATCTCTAATTAAGCAAATGCGTTAGTGATAATTAATCATTCCTGTTTTGTTTCAGAGCCGGATGCAGTAAGCAAACTGTCGCTACCCCTCGGCAGCGCTTCGCCCCCCGTCCTGTGGGGTGCTCGTCGCAAATCAGGTAATTTGAGAGTTTCGTTAAAAACTACGCATTAAGTTTCGTCGCATGTTACAACAGTTACGAAATAACCTGATATGAATAAACATGGAAATTGGCAATTTTCCGAGCGAAGGAAAAGCTTTGGCGGTTTGTTCGTTCGCCCAGAAGTTGATGCTACATGCTATAATCGAATTGGAAATAAATGCTTGCACAATTCACTTGATAAAATAGTAACAACAGAGTTTCGCTTTAATTCTAAGTAATGACATTTTTATCTTACAGCAAATAACAACAGATTAGAATTGCTTTTGATATATTCTGATGGATGAGAAAGTTTCTAATCAGATGTTTTCCTGTTGCACTTGCTGTTTATTGAACTAGAAAATATTCTGTCATGTTTATTGTTTAATGTTGAATGACGCAAATTGATATGTGATGAGTTAACCAAATGTCTTGAAAAATGCTCATAGTTTTCAGGCAATGATTATAGGCAGTTTTATATTTCTAATCCCTTCAGAATGTCTGTTAATTTGCATGTTTACAGTTCTTTCCATTTATTCAAAAATATTTTTGTCATTTTCGGTCTTCTGAATCTTTCACTCGTTTACCCATTCCATTTATATTACGTACGTTTCGCGCTAGCCTTCCAGTCTGAGTTTTAAATTCAGAAAACTGTTGATCAAAGTATAAATTGATATGATCTATTATCTTTATCATTATTTAAGTAATTTTTCAAATACATTATTCAGCCAATCTGTACCTACTAAGACAACTAAGAGTATTCAGATGTATTTACCATTGCTTTCCAGTTTACATCCAGCCTACAAATGATCTTTTTATATAACTATACATTTATCATTATACATGTTGAAGTTTATAACTTCTTCGCGAAAGCTATAAAATTGTTTGTAGTCATTTCCAATAAATATTAATATATTTCTGTGTTGAATAATACTTAATATATCAGCTGAAGGCGTCCCTTGGACTAATTGGATCTTATATAAGTTCCGCATGGCTCATTAATTACCAAACGAACTCTAATCCAGAGATTAAATTTGTTCATGACTATAGTTAATCGAATGCTTTTGTTATGTCCGCTTTGTATAATAAACTCCAATCATTTTCGTGAATTGTTGCCATACTGTGTCTATCTTATACATATGCTTTCGCCGATTTCCTCACATTTTCATTTCGTTAAACCTTTAAACCGTAATTGCTATTGATTGCTTCTTATAAGATTATAAGAGCCTGATTTTCAAAAGTCAAACTCAACTTTTTAGTTCTTTTCAGAGTCTCGAGTTGCAGAGAGTCGTGCTTTCGTTGACAGAAAACGTTTTATTTTCATTTAGAGTTCTACAGCAAATGTAGACAAATGAATTGTTTTTGCATTAAGATTAACTCTAAATACGAATATTTCCGACTATCTTGCCATTTATGTCAACATTATCTTGCATCTTAGTTTGAACGCTTCTTCTTTTCTTTTTTCCTCCTTCAATCCTAATCAATTTTATTTGTTATTGTTGCCTTTTTATTTAACTTTATTTTTCACTTATTATCGACGTTCCGATCCGTTCCAGATTTAATATTGACGGCAAGACCTCTCGATTTCTGCACTATATTAAGAATAATCGCTCCAAGAGCTTTCCTTAATGGAAATATGGTACTTTGTTTCTATTTTGTTCTGTTCTGTAAGACGTGTATTTTCCATTATTATTCACTACTTTATTTGCTTGCTATGCAAATCAAGGAGACGTAGGTGGAAGAGATGTAGGTAAAATGATTTAATTTTAAAACAGAAGTTTCAAATGAGAGTTTTAATTCTAAAATGAAGTAGAGAGTATGTGAGTAAAAATGTAGCCTCTTTTTGTTTGCGAACGCTTTATTGAGTAAATTTCATTTATAATTCAAAGCGAGAGTCAGGTTTCAAGGGTTTCAGCGCCTCTGTAACACCTACTTGATTGATGTTTCCTGCTTGACTTCGCAGCTTCCAAAAAGTGGAATTGTTCATCATTTTTGTTACGTTATTTAAGACAGTTGAGTGTATATCTTTTGGACCATCCATTCATCAACCGAGCCTGGTTCACCTTATTAACAGAGTTATTAAATATAGGATGTTTTTGTTATAAACATTTCTCCACATCTCCGTGATTGATGTGGAACGTACAGTAGAAATTACATCTTAAAAGGGTTTTTACTGCAAGACTATTAAAATTCATTAGTGAACTGAATGTGCAACCAGTCGACATGAAAGCACAATTGTCATTGAGTACAATGTATTAATCTTTGCGTAAATCTAAGCAGTGAGAGCCAAGTTATAATAAACTGGCATTTCCTTCGGCAGCAGTCACGTGTCTAGACTAAAGTTAATGCCATTAACTCTTACTTCCGCCTTGTTGGTAATACGCTAGACGTAAAAATATTATATTGCCGCTAATTATGGCTCAGACGGAATACTGCAAACTACATAAGCGACTGCCAACTGCTTAACTAATACTTAGCATTTTACATCACGTAAATTATTTAATAAATCATCCGGTATGTAAGACCGTTGAAAAATGCACGGGAAATGTTCGCTCCTTGCATATCCTTTAACGCGTGGGGGTGTTGAGACTGAGTTAAACTTCCTTGAAAGTTACCAAGGATGCGGCGCTAAAGAATTCCTTGAAAACTTTCAAGGAACCAACAACTTTTTATTTTGGGAATATTGGAATCGCATTTTTCGATGATTTGTTTCGTTGTTGTCCAGATAACGTGTTAATTGTGGCCGTACTAGCACAAAGCCTGAATATTTCTCAATAGTTTTAGAGAGAGAGTTTTAAGGATTAGAGGATTTTGGGAATTTAAGGACAAAAATTAAATATTTTTTTGTAAAAAAACGTGACTCAAGCGGTATTAAGAAGGCTAGTGGTTTATCTTTGTCTTCTTCAGTTTGATTAAATGTTTTCTTTGATGCAGGTTGAACATCAATTAACAGTTTTTCAACTTGATTGTCACGATATCAGTTGCCAAACCCTTGAACTTCCAAACTTCCAGGATTTCCATTAATTTCTAATAAACTTCTGGTTCTTTCTTCATTAAATATTTAGTTGTTACCGTTAAACCACTTTCTACCATTTACAAAGGATCAAAAGAAAAAAAGTTCTTTGATTATATATTTGGAAATATTGAACTGTCTACGCAATCTCGTAATTTTAAGTGAAAACTACGCATCATTAAGCTCGTGCTGTTTAGAATCGTCAATGAAAGTTAATCTGGCATGAATCAAATTAGCTAGTTTATATGCGGGGTTGCTTATCCTTTGATTATCTTCAATTTGAAAACATCATACAACTTATTACACAGCAAAAAATTAATGTCCATTAGCTTCCACATCTATAAATATAAAAAAAATAAACTTGATAAAAATTTAAATATTCAGGTAATCGAAAACACTATACGCAGTGCAAAGAGGCGCAACATTTTCCTTATACTTACTTTGAAAATTTCGGACCCAGACGGACACCAATCTTTTAAATTCAAAAGCGCCCCTTTACTACAATTTACAAACCACGTTTTATAGAACTGCTAATATAAATTTAACTGCTCATAGACAATCAATTACAGAAAAGTGTCCTCCTTGATATGTATGAACTTATTCAACAAATTACCAAATAATGTAAAATGTATACAGAATTTTAGAAATTTCAAATGAAAGGTTAAAGAGCTATAGGCGAAACTAGAACGAATAGTTTAACTGATTTTTATGGCATTTTGCAACTGTTTTTGGTAGTTTTAAACCATGTTTTATATTTGGACGCTTTCCATTTAGCCATACTGGCTTGTACTACTTAAAATAAAGACTAATAAAGAAACACATATAATGAATAGAGGGCTTTTATGTACTTCAACAAGAGTTTAAGTAGGTTTTCTACTTAAATTTATTTTTTGGCTATTTATTGCTTTTTCAATCGTCTAACTAGATTTTCCATTACTCCAAGTCCATCAATTTCACCAAACATCATAAATGTTCTCTAACTCTCATAACTATATTACATTTCTTAATGAATGTGTCGATTATTTTGATAAAATTTTGTTGCTGAAAACCTATGAAGATAAACTGATCACGTTTTAGGCAAGTTTTGGATTTAATCGAACATTTTCTCGAACCTGAGCATCGGAACTGTTTATCAACAATTTTCGATCGGATATATATCAGGCTCGATCTTTACAAGTCACTAAAAGCGAAAATGAAAATCGTTTGCTAGTTAGCCGTATGAAAAAATGCGCTGTTCTGACAATCAGGCTTTTTGAGTATAAATCATGAGCATTTATAATTTAGCGGTTATCTTAAATTATTCTAAGCCCATCTGTAATAATCGCAGTGGATTTGTACAGATGATTGCACTTCTCCTATTTCACTAAAGCGTCTCAATTGACCGCCCGACAATAAATTAATTTACTTTATGAAGAAAATTGCCTTAAGTAACAGATATCCTTAGAGAAATAAATAACTCCACATCTTCACTATAGTAGGAAACAATCCGAATATCCGACATCCAAGTAAAAAATTCCGTTTCCCACTGTACACGCTTAGAGTGCATAAATCTTTGTCTGCGTCAGCTGCGTCTTCCCATCTTTTCTGAGAGCATTTTCGGATTACATAATGGACGATATCCATTCGACGAATAAAAACAAATACTAAAGGAATCGGTGTCATTATTACTGATGGCCTTAGCCTTCAAGGACGCGGCATCTCTTTGTTAAATGACACCATTATTTCAACTGCTACAACATACGATATCCAGAGAAACTGATCGAAAATGATTTCAGATAAAACGTGTAGTTTGTTGGGGACAACGAAAAAAATTTAATATGAAATAAGACTTATATTCAATTGCATTCCATGTTAGATTACTTTTTTGGTGGCCTGTACCGAAGTTATACTTTGCATTTTATTGTTCCATCGGCTAGTCGTTTGTGTTTGACTTCATTCATGTTTATTAATATTGCCATTTTGGTGCTTTCAACTGTGGCTCCCCTGA